CTTCTGCAGTTTCATCTGCAACATCTCGAACCATACGGATGGTGTTGACATACGTGATGTCAATGTCGGACTCATCTTCTGAATTGATCGGGAAGGTCTCCGGATATTCTTCCGGCGGCGTAGCTATATGGTAAAATGGTTTTGGGTTGAATCCACTTGATCCACTTGACACTCCTACTCTTCGGGTGACAATCCTTGGGTCCGGTCGACTTGTCGTCTGGCGAATACTACCAGTTTCGACAACATTAGGTTTCGGGTAAGGTTCTTGGTTCGGTGGACTTCCGCTTGGGACTGTTCTTCGACTTCTACGTTCCGAACAGAATGTCTGTTGGGGCACTCATTTCCCCAGTGTCCTTCCTGATAACAAAGTCTACAAACTGTCCTTCCAAGTCGTTTCCCTTTTCCTGTCTTTCCTTTTCCTTTACTCTTTCCTTTGCCTTTTCTGCCTTTTCCACCTTTCTTACCTTTACCTTTTCCTCTACCTTTACCTCGACCTTTGCCTTTGCCTCGACCTCGACCAAACCTTCTGAATCCTCTACCTGCCTGCATGGCTCCGAATCCTCCGAACATCTTGCCATAACCTTTCTTACCTTTTCCTTTTCCGCCTTTTCCTTTCCATCCTTTTCCTTTGTACTCTACTCGGTTCACTTCCATTGCTTGATGTCCTCCACCAGTAGGTGCATTCTCCACTGCTCCTAGGTACTGTTGACCATGTCCTGATTCTAGAGGTTGATATACTTGGTTCGGCATCCAGCTTCTCGTAGTCCGCTCGTAGACTAGTACGCTTTCCTTGACTTGGCTGTATGTGGTTTTATCCGTAAGCTGAAGATGGACGTGTTCCTTCAAAGGACTAGGAATACATCTCAAGAGAGTCGACAGGAGAATCTCTCGAGGGTAGCTCACTCCACTACATCTCTCATAGTCTTTGACTAGTTCTTCCAGCTTCGAAATTTGTGCAACAGCACTTAGTCCGGGTGAAAAGTTTGGGTATCCATGAATCGCTTGCATCAAAGCTAAACTCCGACTTCTCGTACTCGGCTGATACATCCTCATCAATGACTTCCACAAAGCAAATCCATTCCGGGATCCAGCGATACTGGGATCTCGCGCGTGCTGCTTCGTGGTTCCTGACAACCAAGAGTTCAATAACGAGTACAGCTTCGTTGACATAGTCTGATACGTTTCATCCGAGAAAGTAGCTGGTAGTACTTCATGGTCTCCCAACTTTTCCAAGTTCTTAAAGGCATCCGAGTATTTGGGTTCCGCATACGCAAGAATATTATAAAGTTGTTCCTTGAAGTCCATGAAATCTTGTGCATCGGTTTTACCTCCACCAAATGATGGTGGTCTCCCCAACATCTTCACTGCACCTTCCAATGCCTTAGAGAGTATTCCTTCATACGAACTTCCTGCATTTCCTTGGTTTCCAGAATAGGTAACTAGCTGGTGAATAGCTTCTGTAGTCACTCTGGAGTTCTGAACCAATTGTCCAAGTATCTCTTGAGTAGGTACTATGCCTAATCCATCTCCATCTGCTCCATCTTGTACTGGTACTCCGGCGGCTGATGACGGTTGTGCAGCTTGAGGTCCTTGCATAGCTTCCGTCCTGACAAGCAAACAAACAAGTACCATTGCTCTGAGTTTCCGCTTGCATCCGCTCACTTTACGTCTCCAACGAATACCGTGCATCCGATTCACTTTCCTTCGCATACAAGTGCATGTCACTCCTTTTTGCATTCTTCCTGCAAGAAGAGTTGATCTGAATACGCAGCTCCAGATGAGCTGAAGTGCTAACAGTACAAGCACAGCGTTTGCTGTACGCAACTTCGTACACTGGGCAGCGAGTTGCTCAAGCGCCTCACAGATCATTCTTGTCGATCTGCTCTGCTGGCTCACTTCTTCCAGCTTCTTCCTGCTGCTTTGCTTTAGCGGTCTTACGGCGTTTTGGTTCGTCGATTTCCGACGACTCCGAATTATCCACAGGGGATTCGCTTTCGCTGGCCTCATCTGACATCTTACTGTCGCTACCTGCTTCGTCCTGCATGTTGTCCTTGACAGGCGTCTCTTCCGGCACTGCGGGTGCTTCTGGTACTGTCGGTTCTTCTGGAACGGCTTCCTTTGGAACTTCTGAATCTTTTCCTGCATCCACTTCCGGGGCATCCAGGATTTTCTTTGCTTCACGCGACTCCAACGTTCTGCGTAGCTTGGCCTTGTGGTGCTCTTCGTACTTCTGCCGAAGCTCCTCTCGGGTCGGTGCTTCCGGACTAGGCTCGACCAAATCCACCACATTCTTTTCATCCTCTTTGGCTGTCCAGATACTGGGCTTTTCTGGCTCGGCCTTCTTCTTTGCTGTAGCAGCTTGGCTTGCCTCCTTCTTTCGGTTGGCTTGCTCTTCTCTATACAACACTGGAAAGCCTCCTTCATCCTTTGCCTGCTTCCAGAATCGCTTGTTACTCTCCGCGACTTCCCTGGACATACTCCCAAAGTCGCAAAGTGCGAGCATTGGGAAAAATCTTTTGTACGGATTCGTAGTGTCTCCTTGGAATCCGGGACGAGTGATTCCTCGCATCGGGTACAGTCGCCTTGTCTTGTTTCCGCGATCCAATATTGTGAGCATGGGCTCGTACAGGCAAAAGCATAGCTGGCTAAACTTGCATGCCTTCTTCCAATGTCCACCATGCCAACATAGCGAGCACAAACTTTTTCCTGGAGGTAGGCTTCCATACACAGTGCGTTTCCGGGTGGTCTCTGTTGGTTCGATGTCCAAACGACCTTTTCCTGCAGGATGCATACTCCATACTTCAGTGAAGCGTCCGGCACCCTTACACTCCCGTCGAGACGGGATGAGTCGTACGCTGTAGGGTTCCAACTGAGCTTGGATTGTCTCAAAGTCTTCATACGAAGTGATCTGCCAAGGGAACTCCCAGAGGGGCTGATGCTCTCCGTCCTTCTCTCCAATCCCGCGCATACCCAATCCAGAAAGGATTTGTACCAACTCCTTTGTCCAAGTTGGACTGAAGGGTTTTGACCCAGGTAAATACTCTTCTCCGCTTCGTAGAGGGCGATTCTCGTTGAGATCTTCTTCGTAGATTGTTTCTGTCCATTCCCATCCTGGGGTTTCCTCAGGCGGTTGCTTCTTACCTTTTCCAGACCTTCTTTGCTCTGGAAGCTTCTTCTCTTTATCCTCTTCAGCCTGAGCATCCGTTCCCAACTTGGGCATTTTCTTTGGCTGCGGCATCGCTTTAACAGCGGGTTCAGCTGGTTCCGGTGCTTGAGTAGTTCCATCGTGGATGGATTGCAAGATCTGAAGTAGACCCTTTTCCTCTCCGTGGCGTACTGCGATGTTGATGGCTTGTCCCATGGCACTTTGCAGCTTCTCCGATGCCACAATGAATCCGCTTTGAGCCTTTTCCAGATTCCTGCAAGCTTGGAGCCAATTCTCTTCGGCCTTACGGGAGTTTTCCACTTGCTCGTCTTTCCGAGCTCGTAGCTTGTCCACGACTTCACGGGCTTTGTTGCGGTACCATTCTTCCGCCGAATCCAGTGCTGCTTCGGGTACCTTGAGCTTTGCTTGTTGCTTGTTAGCTTCCTGAAGTGCTTTAGCCATACGCTCCGATTCTTCCACTGCACGGAGGAGTTTGGTTTCTTCCTCCAGTGCTCGTTGCTTTTCCTTCGTCTCAGCTTCCAAGATCCGCTTTTGCTCTTCCAGATCGGCCAACTTTCTCTTCCGAGACTCTGCCTCGGACTTCTTCTCTTCTTCTTCCTTGAGAGCTTCGAGTCGTTCTGTCTCTTGATCCTTTCCTGGGGGGTCATAGAAAGATCTGGGCTTGAATTTCTGATTGTTCTGCAACATCCGGCTGTAGATACTAAGGAAGGGGGGTTGATACTTTCCGTCAAGTCTGAATCGCTTATACTCTTTCTCAAGCAACATGACGTTCTCAATCGATCCTGCCACTTCCATAGCTTCATCCAGCTTACGTCGAACACCTTGAGGACTGGTAGCTTCTTCTTCCTGTTTCTTCCTAGCCTTCTCGGCTTTACGGCTTTGCTTGGATTCTTTCCTGGCAGTCTTCTTCTCTTTCTTCTTTTCTTCTCGCGACTTTCCTCCAGTTGTCCCTGGAGTCTTTGCTGGAGTACTTTCAGCTTTCCTTCCTGGCGTCTGCAGGAGGTTAGCTTGCTCCACCAAGGTAGCTCGCCTTTCTTCTGCACTCTGCCGCATTTCTCCCAACTCTGTAGTCCGGTCCACCATGACATCTTCATGTACAGGCCTTGCCACTCTAGGCAACGGTTCATGTTCCGTGACTCGAGACACTTTCTGGTGGGGTTCATCCTGGAAGATCTCACTGTCGTTGAGTTCCATAGTTCCTGCCGCTGGGACGAGAGATCCTTCTTCCGCTCGTTCTCCCATCCTTGGGGATACAATTGATCCCATACACAATCCGAAATTTCCTCTTCGAGGGTAAACGGCTGCGGTCGAATAACAAGGTGAGACATGTTCATCCACAAGCAACTTGTTTCCTGAATACTTCCTTGGCTCAGCGTGATACTCGTACAGAATCCAAACACAAATAGCAAAGGTCCTGGTACATCTTCTCCATGATCACCTTCATGGCGAATTCCAAGATTTACTGTCCAGTTTCCAGGTATCCTCGTGTACTTCCTCCGGTTCCAATCCGGTTTCCTTCGGCCCACAGGTTTCCTGGATCTTCAGGCTTCCTTGCTCCGCTACCAAGTTAAACTGTAAAACCCTGCCGGTCACGCTTTTACTCTTGAACCAAAGGCGCTGCGTCGGTCACATAGTATGCAGCTATACAATACTATACCGTAGCCTGGGCTCACCAAAGGTGTGGGGCGTTCCTATGTACAGAATTCAACAGATAACCAACATTCGACATGTTGACACCGTGGCTGTGGTAACCCAGGAACGTCAGGGTTTTGTCAGACAAACCAGCCTTCGCACACCAGCTCAGCAGGGTGGCCTTACAGCTGTGACTGCGCACCGCCGCAATGGCCGACAGGTCAGCATCAGGGGCCTTCGCCAAGATGCAGCGAAGCCACTGAGTAAGCTGACTGCTGCTGACACACTCCTGCAGCCACAAACCAGCAGCAGTGAGCCCAGGAAGCAGAGGGTGGTCCAGTGCACCGTTGGACTCCAGGCGGTTCGCCTCGCGAACAGCCAGAAAAGTGGCGCCCCAGGGAACGTCAGACACGCCACAGAAAAGAGCAGTCAGCGGCATGAACAGATTTCTCTTGCTAGAAGCTCTCGCTTGCTTGGGGTTCTTGACTCTGCACTCAACGAAGCCATCCATACCATCCGGGTATAGGTCAAACTCAATGTGAGTGGCGCGCGCGACATCACTGCGGCGCGCCCGAGCAAAGACCATGAAGCAGAGAGTTGAAGCCACCAGTCTCTCGTAGAGGTCATCAGCAGTAGCAGCGTAGTACTCCAGCCACCTGAGTTGAACAACAGTAAGAGCAGTTGCCTGAGCCACTTCCTCCTTAGTGCGCAAATGCGCGTGGGCAAGGCCACGCACACGAGCAGACAGCAGCTCCTGCACAGACACACGCAGTCCCAAAGTGCCGTGCACAAAGTTGAGACTGCTCACGAAGGAGTCGATGCTAGAAGCTGCAGCAACACCTTGAAGCCAGCGACAGTGCAGCCAAACAACGCTCTCGGATGTTACATCCTCGGGACATGTACGCCGTCTCCACAAAACAAACCTGGTCAAAGGAGAGGCCCGAGTTAACAGCGCGTTAGTGCTCTTCTTGCTGAACAGAACATCAAGATGCTCCACCACAGACTCATCGCCTTCAGTAGGCAACCTCTCGACAGTCGCCAGGCAGAAAAACTCAGGCGCCAGCTTCAGCAGGTTGGACCACTTACACAGCGCCTGCACACGCTTAGTGCGTTCCTCCTGCGAACTCCAGCCAAACCCTTTTGCCTGACCAGGTGCACGGAAGGACGTCGGCAGCGAAGCTACAGAAGAACTCGCAGGCAGTCCAGTGTTAACAGTAGAACACTGCTTCGGCACAGGCACAGGCAGAGGGGCTCGAAGCAGCTCCTCGAGAGACCGGCTCCAAGAAGAAGTCTGTGGGCTCAGAAAAGAAAAAGTGCCAGACTCCCAGGGCAGGCTGAGGCGAGAAGACCTCGCCGCACAGGGCCAAGGCCCATGCCATGGGCCCAGAATGGGTCAGTATCCTGCCTCATAGGGATGGGAGGGCGGGCAACAGAATAACAGCACTTAAGCCAAAATGGCCGCGCGATGCATTAAAGTCGCATGTCGAGACATAGCAAACTTAATGCACGCGCTCTACTAAAGAACACAGCATGCAGGCATGCAGTTGGCACACACCTTTTTTACAAACGTGGGGCGGCACAAGCCAGTGTGGTCCATCCAGACCGACAGCTGCAGATCGACAGCCGCAGAACTGTCGCAAAACTCAGCGATGACAGAGTGCATACCGCTCAAAGCACAGCAGCACAGCGGCAGAGGCACAGTGCCGACAGTGCCAGCTGTCAGAACAGGTCAGCGGCTTCACAGCCCCAGGAACTTTAACAGCCGCTGGCCAAGGAGACCAGAGCCCCCAGTCACAACGCTAGGCACATCACAACCGAACCATTGCAGAGGCTGACACCAGCCGTCACACAAGACGCCGCCGATGGAGGCAGTGCCGTTTTCAAAGGCTCCATCAGTGAACAGAGGCAAGCGACCATACCTTGGGATCACCTTTGGGGATATGATCAAGGATCCACCTGATCGCCCACAACAGCTCAGCAGACAACTCACGCAGAGTGTGAGGCTTGCTCGCCCGTCCAGCAGACAGCAAAACACGAAGAGCAGAGCCAGCAGTGCGTCCAAAAACCTGTCCGGACAGCCACCGAACCCTGCTGGCAAACTGCTCGCACTCCTTGGGAGTTGCCTGGCCAGACCTAAGCTTTTCAAGACACCAAGCAGCCACCTCAGCTTTCCTTGCCTCAGTGTTGGAAACCGACAGTCAGACTGCAGTCAACGCCAGGCGTCAGCAGGAACACGACACCAAGCGACTGAAACGCTTGCGCAAAGGACACAGCCTTGTCGCCTTCCAGGGCGAGTCGCCAACCCAGCATGCGGAACAGCATGTGTACGGAGGCCTCAGCGTTGACAGCATCAGATTCCAGCACAATGCAGGTGTAGTCATCAAAAAACATTGTTGCAGGCACCAGCGCAAGACGGCACAGAATGCGCCACAGAGCCAGAGAAACCCGAACAAATCCCGGAACACTACCCCCAGCGCCAAAAGGAAGTGCAAACATTTGGAGCACTCGGACGGCATTGTCCTCAGGTGACCAGACTGTTACAGCAGCGTAAGGTAAATCGTCGAGATGAATCGGCAGCTGCCGATAAGCACTCTTCAGGTCAAAGCAACGACCTAAGAGGCTCATGCCGCGAGCCTTGGCGATCCTCAGCAGACGCAAACCAAGTGCAACTGTATGAGCTGTGGACATTGTAGTCACCTTCTCGCAGGTGCCAAGAGTATCATTCAGGCCATTGAAGCTGAAGTCGTCCACACCCCTCACCTTATCACCCTGAACAACGGCAAACCTGCGGCTAAGCAGAACCTCAGTAGGTGGCTCCGCAGAAGACGGCAAGAGCATGGCCCAGCCACTGGAAGCGTCCTTGACAGTCGCGTCCCACAAAGAGCGATCAAGCTCAGCAGAGGCAGTGGGAGTGGTCTGGTTCCAAGCCTTAGCGTTGAGATCAGAGCGTTGCCGCCACAGGTTCGCAGCAGACTCAGAGGGTGCAGTGATCTTTGGCTCCATGACACCACTAGGAGCGAGCCAACCCGTGAGCTTAAAACCCGAACAAATGTCGGCCACCAGCCGGGTGTCCTCATGCCCGAGGCTGGACAGCAGTTCCTCCAGCAACAGCAAGCGTTTGCCTTTGAGAACGGTCTTGGCATGAGGCTCCAAACCTGAATGCAGTGCAGCTTCACGAGTCGACAACTCATGTGACCTCTGCAGAATGCTGTGAAGGAAACGGCACCTGCGACGTGCCAACTCGGCACAACTCATGCGAGACACAGCTGACAGTGTCTCCTCCAGGTCAGCAGGCAACTCCACATCACACTCAGACGGATGTCGAAAAGAAGCAGCAGACTGCATAAAGGCCTCAGGCTCGCACGGAACACCAACCTCAACGAGCCAGGATGCTGCCTCCTTCACACAGGACAGAACCTTGCAACCTTTCGGTGCCCCCGCAATCTGCGCAACAGAACCAGGCACCAGCAAGTGCACAGCAGTGCTCAGTGGCAACCTCACCTGAATCTTATCGCTGAAAGGGTTATGTAACTCACCAGGATGCCGGCCCCTAGGAAAAAGGCCAAGAGCTCGACGCGTCTCAAAAAGGCACGCAGGCCCAGACCAGTTGACTGCAGACGGCGCAAGCCGCGCCGACAACTCAGATCCCCAGTGTTTCTGAAGAAGATGTGCCCAGAACCGGCACAAAGGCAAAGGGTATGCAGCCTCAGCCTTGGTGCTCCAGGTGCCATCAGACAGTCTGCCCCAGGGCTTATGCACGTGACCCAGGCTAGGAGAGCACATCGCCTCAAGCGAACCTAGGCAGCGCAAGTTGCTCCAAAGCGCCGTCCGTTTGGGCCTGTCACCCCCCCAGCAGCAGTGGTCGAAGACCACGGTGCACAAGTCACTGCCAAGATGCTTGCAAAGGGAAACCATGGGTGAGGCAAGCCAGAACAGGCTGGAAGACGGATTTTCAATGCTCCAGCCAATCTGTCTACTCTGGCAGAAGAGGGCAACATCCCGGCACAGTCCGTATAACCGATTTGCATTGTGAACCTGAAACCTCTGTGAGAAACTGAGCCCAGGAAGGCCATCAGGATGTGCAGCATCCCTCAAAGGTCGTGGCCCACCTGGTATGAAGCGGGCAGCAGATGCAGTGCTACACGGTGGCGCCATGTGCACATACAGTACCTGACCGGAGTTGAGAACTTCCCACAACACAGCCAAGCCAGAGGCAGAGAGCAAGTCAAGCTTCAGAACTTGGTGTCCGGCAGCATCCTTCACATCAACAGCAACGGTCTCGAAACCTGATGCCTTCAAGCACTTGCTGAGCCTGCAAGACCCAGCAAAAATCTCCACAGCAACACAAGCACGAGCCGTGCTAACCTCAGGACGACTTGCCGCAGCAGGCCCCGGCAGGAATGCAGAAACAGTGTTATCACTGGAAAAAGAACCTTTGGCAGCAGGGCTCGCCTCAGCAACCGGGAGCTGAGCAGAAGCCGAAGAATCGTCAGCAGCAGGGAAAACAGGAGAAATGGCGGCAGCAACAGGCGGCTCGGTGACAGCACCGATCGCAGTCACAGCTGCAGCAGGCGCAGTGACAGCAGGAACAGAACACTGAGGCAGGTGCGATTTTATGAACTCAGCAGAGGCAGTGGCCTGCGCCTCGAGGATACAATCCACCGAGGGAACAGATACCTCAGCAGGACACGACGACCCAACCTCAGTGTCTGCGAATCAGTTGCTGCATGCATGGGCGCCATGGTCAGGGCTGCCGCACTTCATGCACAAATGCAGCCCTTTCTCACACTGCAAACCAGCAGGTGTCTGCCAAGTCTCGCGCTTGCAACCGTGAGCCAAGTTGCGATCGAAACACAAAGGCGTGCCATCCTTGTTGGGGTCCAGGCCTTTGAGGGCAGCAGGAACAGCAGTCTGCTTAGCAGGGGAACCGGGCTTGCCACCACCGGGGGTCTTGCCCCCCTTGCCCCGGCCACCCTTCTCTTTGCCCTTGCCAGGACGGTTGTCCTTGCCATCGCCCTTGCCCGTCTTGCCCGGGGGCTTCGTGGGATCATCAAGTGCCCGCTTCTTCTCACGAGGCATGACATGAAAGGCAACAGCAGGGGCGCCAGCAGCAGTAAGCAAAGCAGCATCGACCTTGGCAGCAACGTCCACAGCAGGCAAACAAGGAACCTGAGCAGCAACCTGTTGCCAGACAGCACGATCAGCTGCCAGAACGGCGTCAATGCCAGGAGCAGAGTACCCAGGCGGAGGCATGCGCTGCAGGTGGTCCAACAGACCACGCACGTAGTTCTCGTGCACAGAGAAAGAACAGACACCAGCGACCTCCAGTGCAACACCTCTCCTGCTAAGTGCCTGATACAACCTCAGTTCATTGCCAAGGTCAACCTTAGGCAGAACAGGCTTTCTGGCAGCTTTCAGGGCAGTGGCCTCAAGGCGAAACAACGTGTCGTCACGGCGTTCTGAAAGAATTTCCTGTTCACGGGAACTGCACTTGCTGGGTGGCAAGTAGCGCACAGAGCTATCAGCGACCATCCCAAAAGCGGCATCGATAAGAACATGGCTCGGCTCGAACGAGCCAGTGATAGGCCACGCTCCTAGTTTGGCACGCAATGCATCCATGCGACTGGTGCGCTCCTGAGAGGTAAGTTTCTTGGAGCCATCGTCTTCACCGGCCACCGAACTCCTGAGCTCGGCGACGACGAAAGTCCCGGCCTCAAAGAGGAGTCGCGAGAAGGCCGACACTGCACCCTCAGTGGCATCAGGTCCCAGGTGCTTATCTTTGGCTGCTTTGAGCCTGACCTCGTCTACAGCCCCAGGCGCACTCGCCACTGCGAAAAGTAAGGCAGAATACGTTGTGATGCCAGCTGCAGACAAACTGTCAAGCACCCCTTGGCTCAGCCCGTATTGACGAGCTTTGCTGGCGAACGTCACGGCAGTGTCGGCCACACTCGCCATCACAGACACAGGTGCAGCTAAGGCCAGAGTCACAGCCAGACCAGGAGCACCAGAGCCAGAGACCTGCCAGGACTCAAGTCAGGCAGGCTCAGCGGCATACAGCCGACCTCGACCACGGCGGGCAGAGAAGGTGAGGCAGCCTGCTCAAGCAGGTGTCACACCAAAACCCAGCAGACAGCCAGGTCCCAGCCTGGTCCAAGAAGAAAGACCTGGCACTGGTCAAGTGCCAAAGACAGGTCACAATCCTGAGCCACCGGCCGGAGTCAAGGCCAGGCGACAGCCCAGAGTCCTGCACAAGCAGAGAGTGACCACCACACGCAGGTGCAAAAAACCCGCCTCAAGGCGAGAGGCGTCCCAGCAGAGCCAAAGCTCCGCAGGAAACCTCGGAAGAGGAAACAGGAAGCTCCCAAAGGCGAGGCACAAGCCACCAGGGCCCAAGCCCGTGGAGCCACCACCTGCAAACAGCAGGGACAAACTCTCGCAAGAGGGGAAGGTTCCCACAGGTCGGCCTCAAGGCCCCAGGCAGCAGGGCCCACACCCCAGCCACAAGGCAGAGAGCCAAACAAGCTGCAGAGAAACATTCAGAGGGCCAGTGCCCACGCAGAGTCGCACACAAGCCGACCTAAAGCGCACAGCCCAGTCTTTCAAAAACAGCCAGCAGCTCAGAGGCTCAGAGGTCACGACAGCGGTCGCAGAAATGGCGCCTATGCGGCCTACGCGCCGAGTCGGAAACGGGGCGACTGCAGGCATGCCCGCAGTCGCCCCAACATGCAGTGCTGCACCAGCCTGTCAAGCTATGGCCGTGGCGCTGCAAGTCAGAAGGAAGATCACGCAGAGGCTGCCTCAAAGGGAAGCTCAGCCTCGAATCTTGCGGTATTCCCGCACGCACGTCACATGCAAGTACATACGGGCAGTTCGCCGTACCGGTCATGCGAAGCCTCGCAAACTGAGGGGCATCAGGGCCCACAGGTGCATGGCCAAGATTCGCGGTGAGACCCTGATACCCTGCCCAAGGATCAGTAGCAGGCGCAGTGGTTGCCATCGGCAGGGACGGCGGCGGCACAGCCACAGTCGGTGTGGCAAAGGCCGGGGCTCCAGCTCCAAGGCCTGGTGGATCAGCAGGTGGAGGCAGCGGAGGATCGACCGCAGAGCTGTCCTCAAGGGCCGCAGACGAGTCAGCTGCAGCAGGCTCCGGGCCGCCATCCAGGCCGTCCATCGTGTTCAGGTCCAGGACCGAAGTGGCCGGCCATTCCCACGGAACAGCATCTCCAGCAGGACTGCTGGACCCAGAAGAAACAGCCTCAGCTTCCGCATCAGCGGCACAGTCGGCAGAGCCAGCCGCAGCCAAACCAGGAGCGGAGTCACCAGCCTCAGGCGTGGCAGGAATCAACTCGGGTGAGGAAGCGGAAGCAGCGTCTTCAGACTGTGCCACAGCCCCAGAGCCACCGCCATCAACCACAGTGCCAGCACCTTGGTTGGTAGTGCCAGAACCAGCACCGACGTCGGACCCAACCTCAGAGGAGGCGCCAGCAGGTGCAACAGAGGCAGGCTCAGGGCTGGCAGCGGCAGAAGTGGACACGTCAGGGACCACAGTGGCACCAGAACCAAAATCAAGAAGGTCAGGCTGAAGACCAAGCAGATCAGCGTGAATGTCCTGGCACAGACATCACTCCAGCTCCAGGGCACGGAGGTAGGTCATACTCACTGGAGCCCTCCGTGTCATGTTCCAGGTAAGCCAGCTGCACGTGGTCCCGGCAGAAGTAGTAGAGCCGGAGCGCCTCAGCAGAGGGAATTGCCGCCAGTGCCGCAGAAAGGTGAGCATCCTCGGCATGAGCAACAGCACGAAGACGCCGCACCACAGTCCGCAAAGGGTCGAGCGACATGACCAGCAACAGACCCAACAGCGAACAAGCAGCACCAGACTCAACAGAATAACAGCACTTGAGCCAAAATGGCCGCGCGATGCATTAAAGTCGCATGTCGAGACATAGCAAACGTAAAACAACGCCAGGCTCTCTCAGCCCCATGCAAGTCATTGCGGCCAAGAAGAACCGATCGGGAATCAGTGACACCCTGATGAGTTCACCCGAGCTGCTACTGGTATACCCGGGGTGACTGTAAACGCGTTTGAGATTCGTGTGTCACGTGTGTCACTGGGCGGGGGCATGCTTCCGCCCCATGTGTGGCTTGTGACATTGTGTATGCCCAAGGTAAGATGCTCATGAGTACCAACATCATCTTGAAATATCTGAAGCTGAGCCAATCACAGCTGCAGGGTCGCAGCTGGTGACTTGTCTAGCATCAGGAACGGATGCCATGCATTTCGGCACAGGGCGACCAGCAGGTCAGCGTCGGTTTTGATCATCGCCGCACGCGTTCATGGAAAGGTCTGCGTCAGCGCCTCTCCTTCACGAAGAGCATGACAAAGTTCCGGTCTCTCACCCTTCCCTCCCCGATCCTCCACATAGACCATTTGGAAGCAGCCCGGTCGTTCGAGGAAGGCCGGTGAACATGCCCCTTCGAACAGGGGATCCTTTGCCCTCCACAAGTATCTCAGTATCTCTCTCTCTCTCTCTCTCTCTCTCTTTGTGTTCTCTCTTGGCCTCGGGGCGTTGTCAAGGCCACAGCTTCCAGTCTGGGCTCCACCTTTCCTTTCCCAATCCAGCCGATGTCCCCTCCTCTTTTCGCGTCTGGAGCCTCGGAGTTTTCCTGCGGCCAACGCAGGTGACAGCACACAGGCACCCAGCTGCTCTTGCATCATTTCTTCTTCAACTCAGCCGATGGCGCCGCATGAAAGTCTCAGGCTTCAAGGTGTGAAACGAAGTGAAACAGCTCCCTAGAGCCCCTGCCAATAGTGATAATCCCAGCAAGGCAAAGCGTCTCCACGAACCAGCGATAGAGCCTTGCATCAGCCAGCGCGCGAATCGCACTAAGTTGTCTGCGCATGTCCGTGCCCATGCCGCAGCTGAGAAACAGAGTGCAGCAGCATCGCCAGCTTTGGCAAAAACACCACAACCTGCCAACAGAATGAAGTGAGCGGAGGGTTCCATCACTTGGCCTTCGCAACAAACAATAAGCGTGCTGGCGGGCGTTGTCACTGTGATTGTATGCATCTTCCTCCGTCATGTCGCCGATCTTTGACAGCCGTGCCTTCGGCAAGCTCACGACCACAAAGCTTTGTGGAACCAGGCCAGTACACTATGGCCTCTTCCACTGTTCCTGGAAGGTCATGAGGGCGGGTGCAGATGTGATGCATACCAGCCTCACTTTGGAACGTGCTGGAGGTTTGGACCTGGTACGGCTACTGTAGAGGCCCAGGTCCTAGAGGTGGCATATCGCATTTGCCACGCTTGGTCCCGGGCCAGCCGAGCCAATCCACCAAAAATCTGGCTGCCGTCCGCGTTCCAGATCTCCGAGCCTCTCCGGAGAATGTCTCCAAGATGGCTCAAGAAGAGTTGCTGATTCTAAGCCTGAGCCCCTTGCAGTGCAGCCACATTGGTGAACTTCGGCTCCTGCAGAGTTTTCCGAAGCAACGCGCGCTCCTTCGGAAAAAACGGCGACCCGGAGCCGGGGAGCCTCAGCTCGATGACAGCAGCGCTTGGGCGCATGGCCCAAAGCCAGGCCATCCCGGCGCCGTGCGCCGCCACCAGGAGATCCTCAGAGAGGGAGGGAGGGAGAGAGGCCAAAGGCTTCTTCTGAGCTTTACGCCGAGGTGCGGCTCCGATGAACATGCGAAACTGGTCCACCCACGGGACACCCGAAAGATGCTTGATGACCTTGAGTTGCAGCTCCGAGAAGTTGGCTCGAAGAAACTCTTGGACCTGCGAAAGCGCAGGCCCTAACCTTGCCTGCCTTCCTCTTGCAGGGCCCCCTGTCTTCCCCTGCCCAAAGCCTCCTCAAAGTTCTCGATTTGCCGACCATCGGCAGCCTGCCTTCAAGATGATCCAGCTTGCAAGGCTTGCTCTTGACGCAGAAGCCCCGGGCCGGGCCTCTGTAGCAGAGCAAGCTGAAGAGAGTCGCCCGGGCTGTAGCCCGGGGAGCCTCGCTCAGGAACGAGCTCAAAGTCCGGAAGGGAGCGGACAAGGAAACGCCGAACAGCAGAAACTTGGTGGCAGCTCATTTCCGGAGTTTGGAGGAAGAACCGCAAGGATGGAAGCCCAAGGATAACGTTGCTGTAGCTTTCACCCTGGAAGCTCTGCAATGGCCGAGCCGGCACCTCCGAGAGCCATTGCAAGACTCCTGCATGCACACCATCCGCTGCGAAGTGGGCAGAGACGCTTTCTGTCGTTGGCCACGTCGGCTGCAGGAAGGACCATTCTCCGGGCTCTGTGTGGCCACGGAAGGAGGCGTCGACGACACGACCTTGAGCAGTCGAGGTGGCCCAGTCGATCTCCTCGCGAGGAAAGACCAGGGCGACCTCCAAATGCCCAGCTTCGATCTGCTTCTTGAGCTTGTAGAACCAAAGGGCGGGCAGCCACCAATGCAAATGATGCCACGGATTAGCTTCCTCTGCCATGGTTACGGGAATGATCGCCAGAACACGCTTCGTGTCGGTCTGCTGTTGGTCCCTCAAGATCTCCGCCTGCAGCCAGAAGCGCCCGAGCTCCGTGCAAAGAGGCCCGTACGTGAAGCGACCGAGCTTTGCAACCCCAATGGTGGAAGAGCCGACTTCGTGCGGGCCGCACCTGCTCGACGTGCTCGGGCTTGGAGCCGACTCCGGAGCCAGGCTCCGGAAGGCCCGGCTCCAGGCAAAGCGCTTCAGCAGCATTGGCTGGAGCCGAACCGCTTCGCGGACCTCGCCTCTTCCAACCTCCCAAAGGAGCCGAGCATGATGCAGGACCGCATCGCGCGCGGTGAATTTCCAGTACTGGGCATCCAGGCAGTCGGCGGCAAAGGTTGCGAGCTGAAAGATGCCGGCGCTCAGCATCAGCGTCTTGCGCAAATCTTGCTCCAGTATGCAAGAATGTAGCAAGATGATTAGACTCGCAAGGTTTCCGGGCACGCACTGCGAAGAGGATGCCATAAGCTGGATTGCTCTCGGATGCACCATATCATCTTCATTCTTGTCACAACGTTGAAGGCTGATGGCAAGGTTTTGCCACTCACTGCCGTTCAAAAAGCTCTGAATAAAATGTCTCTGCCCCAAACCCAGCTCCTCAAACTGGGCCTGCGACCGAGCGAAAAACTCGCCGGCTTCTACGCAGCGACAGAAGTCTCTCCGACCCCAGGCGGCCACGTAGACGCCCTGAAACCTCGACCAAAGCCCAGGCTCCCGACTCAACAGCGCAGAGATCATACCAGAACTGAGCCTCTTCCGGAGACCAAGAAGAACCACAAAGTAAACCAGCAAAGCTTGATAGGCCGCGCTCATGTCCGGAAGTTGTCCTGGAAACGCTCGGCTGATGTTCCTCAGATCATCTAGCTCATCCCGTGCCCTTCTCAAACACTCAGCTGCCATGGCAGCTGCCCCACCGCCAGTCAGTGCTTCGCCACGGCTTCGAAAGAGAACGCGAAGTCGATGAAAAAGTTCTGAGGGTAGGCCCTCGAGCCCAGGCAAGCTCAGGTGACCATAATTCAAACTGCCTCAGCTGGGCTCTCCAAAAGAGCAAAGCACCCTGAAAGACTGTCAAACATTAGAGTTTCTATGGCCGTGCATTTTTCACTCAGAAATGTGGTCATCTTCTAAACGAACCCCAGGTGCGATATGCACAGCATTTCTCCTCAAGAGAGCAGGCAGAGGGGCCCCCATAACAGCAGCGGGAGCGCACTTTGTCTTCGTTCCAGCACCCACTTTGAGAGTCGGGCTCCTGTAGCAAATCCTGCCCTGCAGCCAGGAAGAGCAGGACGGCCCACAGCATGGTGGAGAGGCTTCATTCCGAGAAGCCGGTCCTGTGCCGTGACAGGGCGTCAGCAGGAAATCGTCTTCACATGCCTGATCTGAGCGGCTGCGCAGAGGGGCCAAGCTCCATGCCTCCATGGGTTCTTTTGTTTACACCGCCCCTATGGCAGAATCCTTCAGGGCTAAACAGCAAGAAATCTGCAGACCTTATTATTAGGTTCCAGCCCCCAGCATGAATGATCCTGGATCAGCACGATGAAGCGGTCCAGGTCCGCACTGAGCAAAAAGCCCCCCCGACCCATGCCGCTGCCAGCTGCCATCTCCTTCCAGACTCTAAGCTTTCAAGGCTTAAGAATAAACTGCAACTCAAATTAACCAGCGCCTGGTAGCACCGCAGGATTTTTTCTTCGGTGCTGACCTCCAGCTGCTGAGGGTTTGCGGGCCCTCTGTCCAATCCCACGGCCCGGATTCCTCTCCAAATTACGAAAGCTGGCATGGCAAATCCTGCTGGTTGCCCTTCATCCAGGAGCACAATCTTCGAAGCCGCGTAGCACTGTATGTGTTTAGCAAACCCACCTCCCGAAACGCACCCGGATTACAACTAAATAAACAATTCTGCCCGGGCCGTATGTACTCTACTGGAACCACCGAAGGCCATTTCCGTCAGGCCCGAAGCCAGTGCCTGGAGCCTGCGAATCTTTGCTTGCCCACTTTGCGGTACCTGAAAGACCCTTCCGCTTGTGAGCTCTGCAGTGATTGAGAATCCCGGGGTGTGCACCTTGAGAGCTTTCGGCAAGGTCTCCTTGTAACATGAGAATGCTCCAGCCTGGGAGAGAGCTTCAGGGGCACGGTCCGTAAGGCCTATCGACGGCGTTTCAGAGCTACCCACCTGGGACTCGCTCAACATCGCTTCCCCGCGTCTCCGAGCACGTTCCCAAACATCTTTGTTGAACCTGCGCATTGACGTGTAGGACTTGGGACTTCTCGGCACCTGCCAGACTCCCCCAAACTTTGCCGGCTGCACATGGAAAAATCGATGCCCGCATCTCCTGCGGCTGCTACACCGGGGTGATGAAGAGAAGAGGCTGCGGGACTTTACAACACGGGCTGCCAGCGTCCTTCGCATACTTTGGGAGCGCTGGAAGCAGAATCCAAGCCTCGTGAAGCCATCACGGTCATCACTGCCTTCCTTAACGTCCCCTGACACAGTCAATTCGACATCTCTTACCTGACCAGCAGGCCTTCCTCCAACTGATCACATAACTCTGGCCTTCGTTTGGCAACCTGCATGGGAGAGTTGAAAGACAATGCCATTTCCCTGCGCTCCCATGGTTTTCTTGAGAGCCTTGTGTTTGGTCTGAGTCTTAAAGGGTTTGGCTAGGATCTTTCCACCCGGACCCGGACTTTCGATCATTTTGCGCGAGCCCCTAACACGACGCGACGTGTTGCGATTCCGATGAAGAGGAGAGTCTCCCATAAGAGCTCTCTTGTACTTGACAGCATTTTTGGCGGTTTCAGCGCTGAGGCATGAACAGCTTCCTTCTCCAACGATGTTGGCTTGCCGGGACCAGGGACCAGGGAAGTCTTGCCGCCTTGCCTGTGCAGCTTGAAAAGCTTTCGCGGCAGCGCTTCGGCTCTTTGGCAGCTCCGTCTGCAGCGGGTTCCTTAGAGCGAAGTCGCAATCGCCATGAACCACGGACGCATGGAGTCGTGGGACTTGGGACTGAAGCCCGTGCACATCGAACGCAGCGTCTTTGGCTGGCCTAGTATCTTCTCAGGGCCGCCGACGGGCCGAGGCAGATGCAATGACACAATGAGGGAGATGCTCAGCGCAGGACTCGGGCTTCTCGCTGACATTCGCAGGGCCGGAATGGACCCCGGGACGATCGCCGCCAGCGAGGTGTGAGGCGCTCTCACAAGCGGTGCCCGACACGGCCACCGATAGGAGTCTCTCTCCCCTAACTGCAGCAAGGTGGACTTCGATGGCTTTGCTTGCGGCCAGCGCATCCGAAAGAGCCGCCTCTGCGGCCGCCTCTGCGGCAGGGGCGCCTTTCAGGGCCTCCAGACCCTTGCGACTTGAAGATATTTGACGATCCCATGCTTGCAAGACCAACTCCAAGGAAGAGAGCAAACTCTCCACCCTTTCTGCGTCTTTCTCGCACGCCATGCGAAGGCGTCCGAAGACACGGAGTTGTGGAGCCCCGTCTCGGTGCTCTTGTCGTGGCTTGGCAAACCGAGTTAATTATACCGTTGCTGGATGCGTTTTCGATGCTGGCACGAGTGATCGCGGATGCGAAACTTCAAGCTGGCAAGCTGCCGAAAAGGCGCCGGGTGGGAACGGGTGCAAAAGCTGACCACTGTAAAACAGATGCGCTTCCTTTTCTCAGCCAAAAGCCCCTTAAGGGCTGGTCAGACTGTCCGGACCGTCCGGCTACAGGATTTAGTCAAGCCCTGTAGTCGACCTCAATGGTGCACAGAGCCTCAGGGGCTCAGCGGCTCAAGCGCCCTCTGGCTTCAGGCCAACTCGCGCCAACTCGGAGCCCACCTCAGCTGGGCGAACGCGCGGCTCTCTCCGCGTTGCTCTCAAAGCCTTTGCCCCCAGGCCCCGGGCCGCTGCTTCGATGGCCGTGCGCCTAAAGAGGCTACCGGGCTCCCGCCCAGCAGGGCCCGGCCCCCGATTGAAGGGAGGGGGGCAGAAGAAAAATCGGTTGCGGAAGCAACCGCCATTTTTTGGCCAGGGGACAGAGACGCCAAGGACCGGTGGCTGCTCTTCGACCTGTCAAATTGGCTCGCTTGACGGGGCGGTACGGGGCGGTACGGGGCGGTACGGCGCAGTCGGGGCTGTACGGGCGGTACGGGGCGGTACGGTATGTGGTTCTATTTCTTGTTTCGTGCCCCCAGCAAGTTAGAACCAGACGTTGTGCTGTGCAAGCCCGGACCGGTGGCATCAAGGCGGTGCGGGCGGTTTTTGTGGCCGGCACGTGGTTCTAACTTCGTGCCCGAGCAAGTTAGAACCAGATGTTGCTGTGCAAGCAGGACGGTTTGGGCCGAGTTGGTGTGGGTTGAGGCTGTATGGGGCGGCAAAGCATCACAAAGGAAATGCGGGCGCGGTATGCGTGCGCCCAGCATTAGAACCAGCCGCAAGGGCACACGTGGCGGCTGTGCGGAGCGGTTCGGGGCGGGTACGGGGCGGTACACGGGGCGGTGCGGGGCGGTGCGGCGGCACGGGGCGGTACTTTGATGGGCTGTGGGTTAGCTACTGATTTAGCGAGGTTGCCGCTGTTAGTAAGTATACACTAACAATGGTGTAACCATGTTCTAAGTGCAGTGTAAAGGGTTATAACTGTTCTAAATGAATAGATGAAATGCTAACTGTTAGAGTAAAATTAGGATCATGTTAATTTCATGTTAATTTTAGCATAATTTTAGCAGCTTGTGTTTTTAATTTTTGATAAGGGAAATGTATGTATTTGAATCATGCTTCTTCCTGGCTTCATGCATGACATGCAGCCCGTCCGGGCTTTTGGCATGGCAGCCCTTGGGGCTTTGAACATGTATGTCATGCAGTGTTTTTCATGCAACCTGCATGCAGGTTTCCATGGCAATGCTTGTTGGCTAAGCAAATCTTGCATTCAGCCTCCATGGCTTCTTGTTGTTGTTTTCTTGTTTGTGCATGGTCTTGATTGCATGGATGTTGTGTGGACTATATAGAGTTTTCTGCCCGAGTTCCCTCCTGACTTCCAGCTTTGTTCCTGTGAATAATGGATTTGGTTGGATGGCATGCCTGTGCTACTCCCGGGTGCCAGAGATTATGCCGAGCTTCGAAGAATTATTGCTGCTCCAATTGTCGCAAGAACTATGGCAACCATTCTCGGAGATGTGAGGATGTTGAAGTGCATCGCAGTAGCGAGCTGCCACCTGGCACGAACGTTCCTTGTCAAGGCTCGCCACAGTGCGACAGGATGACGACGAGTCCTCACCATTGGTGCTGTAGCTGGTGCAAGTCAGGGCTAGGGGTGCACAAGCCATCCTGTACGGTTCGGCAGAACCGCATGGCCTTGCAGAATCTTTCCCAGGGCCAGGGCCAGGGGCAAGGGGTTGATTTGAACGGCATGGATTAGATGGGCATCATGCGGGCAGTTTATGAAAAAGAAAACCAGGAGGGTCCTCGGTGCATAGCTTGATGTGCTTGGAATCAAGTGTGGCTGTGTATAGGTGCATCCAAAGCACATATTTGCAGATCAGGAGGCCCCTTGCAAGGCGAAAAATTCAAAGGACCCCAGGCCCGGCCATGGAGGAGAAACTCGCCGCAGAGATCGCCCGAATCATGGACAACACGGAGGTCCAGCCCAACAGAAAGCTCGACAGGCTTGTCAACTTCTTGAAAGAATCGCAGCTGGCCTACACCACCACCTTGAGGCCAGCAGAGCTACTGGCTCATCCTCACAATCGCGGAGGCAGCATGCTCAATCCGCTGGATGTCCATAGCAAAGGACAAAAGCTTTTGGATCTTGGTTTCAGACCTTCGCTGCTCACGGACTCGATCGCGATCGAACTTTCTCCCCTAGAAGACAAGCGGAACGAGCAAATCCGGGCGAACACGGACTTGAGTGAGAGGTCCAACGGGCTGTTGTCACCGGTCTTGGGGTCGGAAAGAGCCATGACGGTGAGTTCCAGTCACACCACCGCCTACTTAAAGGCATCCTTGATGAAATGCAAACGACCCAACTCGGGAGGCAGCCTCAGCCTGGAGGATGAGTGCATGCGAGATGCAGTGAATCAGGGGTGGCCCTGGCTCCTCATTTCTTGGCGGGCAGAGGCCATGGCCCCCAACCTCCCAGCCTTCGTCCAGATGGTTTTGAATTCGGTTCATTCGGTAGGCCTAGCCTGCCAAGAAATCGAAGCTGCACAGCAAGTTGCTTTGATGTGCACGTCTGGCTCCACGGTGAAGGATGCCGTGAACTCAGTCAAGGCATCCAAACCTGCATGCGAAGACTATATGGAGCATGTAGGAGTTTATGTCCAGAAATTTGGAGGCGGCAGCCCCTTTCCTTTGATCTCATTCTTGGCAAGTTTTGCCAAGGATTTGGCCCTTACTGTTGCAGTAGGAGAGGAAACTTTTAAGGCCATTACGGCTTGGGATCTGCAGGAGCCCTCGACTCAGTTCCCATTGCTGCGAGCCGCCCTCCGAAAGTTGTCGAGGCACAGCCCGTCTGCTTGTCAAGCAGGATCTGGACCGCCTCAAAAGCGCCCAGCACCGACAGGCCCTCCTTCAAGCTGAGCAGATTCTGGAGCACGGGTACCAGGTCTATCGAGATGCAGGTGAAACCCCAGCAGTGCAGCGAGCACTCGGCCGGATGATGGTGCGACTTTCTCTCCTCCTCACTAAGAAGGAGAAGTATGGTCGTGAGAAGGTTATGTATGAGTCTCAGGAGAAGGTGGCCCAGCTCTTCGCTACCGAAGCTTTGAACACGAACCCATCGGGTGCTAGCTCTGCTGGCGGGAGCGAAGCGGATGAGAATCGGGAGGAGGACCGGCCCCTGAATCTCTTGGGTGGCATGAGTGTAGGGGAGCAAGCTTTGCTGCAGAACCCGCACTTGAAGAAGGATGGGAAGTACGTGCATGCGGACTACCCAGACAAGATCTTTGTTTTCGCTGGGCTCGAGAATGACGAGGCCAAGTTCGTGCACACCCCCTTGTTTGCCTCGCCCGACATCGTTATGACATCGCCAGAGCACTTCAAGAAGTGGAAGGTCACTCGCCTCCCAGTGCCGAGTGTGTTGGCTGCGGACGAATCCGTTAAGTCCACCTACGGTGGCAGTGCTGTCTTGAACGATGCGAAGATCTTGGCGGATGGGCAGCAGCAGCTTTTCCAGATCTTCGCAGACCAGAACACCGGCGATTCTTCATGCTTGCATTTCATCCACCCTACGGCGGTGTACACCTCGGAGAGCTTTGCGAAGGAGAAGCTTCGCCTCATTCCTCTGGCGAACATGACGAGAGCCAAAGAAGGGCAGAAGCTCAGTCTATGGGTCGAATGGAATGGCAACAAGTACCAGTTGTCTCCTTTTCCGCAGTTGAAGGATTTCGGGGAGCAGCCCGACTGCAAAGAAAAATAGGATTTAGAGGCTTTCGCCTAAATCATAAAGCTATGCATGTCTTATAAGGCCGAAGAAGACTGATACCATCGTGCCCTTCTACTGGATCAAGACCACGTCCTCGGAGGAAGAGGTCAACATGGTTGTGCAGTGGAAAACCGTCGCCGGCATGAAATTGCCCATGCTCGTCAACAACAAGAAGGTGGCCAAGCACACGATGCTCATGCAAGCCTCGAAGGAGCTGCTGCAGAAGCAGGAGAAGGAGAAGGGTTCCTTGAAGAGGAAGGCTACCTGATCGATCTAGCACCATGCCACGTCGGCTGCAGGACTTTGATACACCTGGCATGCCACCAGGGTTTTTGCCGGCAGCTGCTGTGAAGGGTTGGTTGTCTCTGCAGAATAGATGTGTTGGTGCATCATGCAGCAACAGCCAGCCTGTTGCTTGGTTTTGGTTGTTATCTGTAGGAAACATGTGTTTGTGCATCATGCAGCAACAGCCAGCCTGTTGCTTCGTGTTGGTTGTAGTTGTGATGCAGAATGCATGCTTGAAGCAAGCATGTTCGGTCATGCAGCTCCTCCGAGCTTTTGCATTTCTCGTGTTTTGCTGACTTGTTGCTTTGATCTACCACAACTCAGTTGTTGGGTTCAAGCTGTTCTTTTGAGCTGAGCGCTTTTGTTGCTGCTGGAAGCACGATGGTCAGCATCGGCACTTGCACGACGATTACATGGCAAGCTCGTGAGGTCGTGGTGCCCAACGATTTGATCGTCGAGATTTCCGGTGTCAAGTACCTGAAGATCCAGCCCTCGAACAGGGTGCTGATGTTCTAGGCAAGCAAGTCTGACTGCTTCTCCAGGTTTGCAAAAACTGAAAGAGGGCAGGGAGGAGGCAATCCAGAACTTCTTGAAAAGCGAGGGCAAGGGATCGGGGGCGGATGAACTCTTTCCGGAATCGAAGAAGAAAAAACAGAAAGCGCAGCCGAATGCTGAATATGTGATGGTGGACGGCATTCAGATCGGGGTTCAAGCCAAGCACAAGTCCACCATGGATTTGTTGATCCTGATGGAGTCA